GGAGTTTCCTTCAACCTGGGCAGATTTCTCTGCGGTGAACGGAAACGAGTTGGTCGAGATGGACGAGAGGTGGTTCCTCCAGCTGGCTTCCATCAAGGCGCAGATCCCCATGCGCAAAACACACTCCATGTTGGACCGAGGCGACGGTCGATCTGCACCTGCGCCACAGCTCTCAGCGGCCGAGAACGTTTTGGAGCGGTTTATGGATATCCTTGGCGGCAGAGCTCCCGCTGGCGTCCGACATCGCCACATGACCAAGAGCCCAGATCCGCGAAGCAAAGTGTCACAGGCCACCGCGTTGTTTGAAAGGCTTCACAGCCAAATGGACCAGCAATCTGCCCCAGCGAGTCAGGCACCGAGCGCAAAGCGCCCGAGGACGGAGGCACCGCCCGTCCCAAGCAAGCAGGAGCCGCAGGTCGAAACCAGCAAACAGCCCGCGAGTCCACCGGCCGAGGCCTTGCAGATGGTGGCAGCTTCGCCTCTTACAGACCAGGAGGAGGTCGACCCAGCAGAGGAGGCTGAGACAAAGCCTTTCTTGGAGGCGGCGGAGAGTTCGATGGCTGCGTTGGATGCAGCTTTGGGCGTCCAGCGGAAGCCAGCCATCGCAGTGGAGCCCATCAAGAAAAGCATGCCAACTCCGTCGAAGGCGGCCGAAGAGCACCCACCGCCTGCAGTCCTGAAGCGACCGGCGCAGCAAACGCAGGTGGAGGCCGCCTCATCCGTGCCCAAGAAGAAGCCGAGCGCCCGCAGTGCAGTTCACAAGAAGCCTAGCACCACTCCAAAAGCCGCCCTCACTTCGTTGCCGAAGGCGCCCCAGTGGCTAGTGCGCGAGTATCGGGGCGGTTGCGGCAAGTGTCGCTACCAGGCGAAGGGCTGCACGCCTTCCTGTTGGAGGGCTCGCGGTTATGCACCCTGATTGGAGAGCAGCTGCTTGGAAAAAGAAAACAGCTTTCGATCAGATGCATATAAACAACGACCACAGATAAACATTTAAACATATGGAAATCATATATGGTATCAGCTGTTTAGTGTTTCATACATGTGTACACACAGTGGAATACATGTGCAAAAGAGAGTGTTATCTCATTTTTATCCCTATATAGTCCCACTGCGGCGGCGCTGGTTGACTTATTCAACGAGTTCACCCAGAGTTTTTGGCTCTACGCTTCCACACACGGCTTTGCCGTTTGAATTTTGGATTCCGCAGTTTTGGCGCTTTCCCTATGTCACCACATGTCACAATGAAACAACATCAGGTAGCCCAGGTGCTTACCTAATTGCTGCGAATAAACATGCAGTCATTTGAAAAGTAGATCTAGTATCTGTAAAACATATATTAAAAAGAAACCATGTGGTTGATCGATCAACCGCAAGAGGTTCGTGCGCGCCGCCGCTTTATTGGGGCTGCTCAAAACTCATTGAATTTGGCTCAATGAGGGAAGCTATGTCTTCCAGTGATAGCTCCTACTCAGTGACGGTCGTGCCCGCTTTTATCCGTCTCAACGTCACCGTGCGGAGAAGGAGAAAGAGACGGCGCCGTAGCTCAGAGAGTTCTGTCAAGCGACGGCGGCGACACAGGAAGAGGTCTAGACGCGGAAGGAGACGCAGGGAGAAGTCTCAGCGGCGCAGTGACTCTGACAGGCACTCCCAAGTAGAGGGCGAGTCAGAAGAGCAAGAGGCAGCTCGACCCATACCACAAGGCGAGCCGCCCAAGCCTGTGGGCACTGCGAACGCAACAGACCAAGATGTCGCAGTGCCTAAGCTGGAGAGTCCTGAGGAGAGTCGATCGCCCAGCAAGGATGTCTCTGCAGTAGCGACTCTCCTGGAAGAGGCGCAGGCTGCTGCTGGAGCAGAACCTCAGATGACCGCAGCCGCGGACAAAGACTGTGGTGAAGAGCCTGGAGACAATGTTGAGCTCGAACACACAAAAGCTGCACCCACTGTGAGTGCGGCGGAAGCTCTGTCGCCAACGGCCGCAGTCGCCGCTGCCCAAGACTCTGAGGAGACGCAAGATCCAGGCAGCGCACAGGATTTGATTACCTCCGTGGCCACAACTGCTCGCGCAGAGGTTGTGGGAGAGTCCACACACCTTCCTGTGAAACCAATGTTTGAAGAGTTTCCAGGAACAATCAGAATTTTTAGATTTCAATTTATGTTTGCGGCTGTGCCGTTTTTTATCAATATCAAAGATATCATAGACATATATATAGCACTGTCGTGTGAGGTATCCTGTGCCTAAGAGTGAACCACGCAGTTTGGGTGGTCAATGGCTACTTGACAGGACAGCTTCTTGTTTTTCTCATTGACAGTGTGCACATTTTTCCCATAGTGTGTACTTGAGCTTTGTTTTGTAATACATAGATGTCTACTACGATCTCAGTTCGCCAGGACAAGCAGTCGAGCAGAGGCGGAGGAGGACTCACCTGCGGCGGACAAGGACTCACCCGCGGCTGACAAGGACTCACCCGTGGAGGCGCCATGGCGGCGAAACAGACAACGCTGGCGACGCGAACCCCTCGTACCAAATGTGGTCGAAGCCACGACTCAGGAACCCTCAGAGCTTCCCAAGTCTTCGATGGACGCTGAAGATTCCAATAAGGAAGCTGCTGCAGCCCTGGTCTCTGACACAGAAGCTCCAACATCAGAATCCCATGGCCAACCTTGGTGGCAAACAGCTCCCGCGGAAGTATGACATCACAAGTACCCGCTGCATTCACAAGCGGAAAGGCTATTGCGGCCTTACCGTGGGAACCTTATTTTATGTATTTATTGAAACCATTGCCTGCGCAGTAGCTTTATTTTGAGTGATTGTTTTTTTGGGGAAACAATTAATTTTCATGTCATTCAATTGAGGTCAAAAAGATCAATGTACCGTGTGGCTCGCGGAAAGCCAAAGCCATCTGGAAAGCTAGCTCAGGCTGGGTGTTATTTTTTTGATAAAAGACAATATGTTTTGATAAGTAACCATTTCACTAACAAAACAACAACTCTTCATTTATATGTGATTTTTATTGCAGGCCAAATATAAAGCAAGGGATTTGATGAAGCGACACGGAAGGTGATGCGGAGGACCGAAATGAATCATAATTATGTTCATTGATAGTTTATTTTCATTTACACAAAGTGAAATGATTGTGGTTTATCACTGATATGTTTTTGTTTGAGTTTGTGTTTTGTCCAGGACTGTTCACTGGAATCTTCTGAAGTGATATTGATGAAAAAGGAGTGTTGTCAGCCTTGCGGCTATGCCGCATCAATCTACTTTGTTTTATCTATATTTTTTTTATATTATGTCGGATATATCAAATTATTTGTAAAAAATAATCAAAAACATACTATAAGTATGATGTAATATTGATAGACAATCGTTGTTTGTGATATTTACATATATAATATTTAATATGTTTATACAATAT